ACTTTCGTCTGCGAGGTGCGGGCCCTGCCTCGCTGACGCCGTCCCCGCGGAGGGCCCGGGGCCTGCCGGGCTCCGGTGGGAGGGTGCTGGAAGCCGTGGGCGAAAGGAGCGCTGGGGAGGAGGGGCAGGTGGTGGGGGGCTTGGCCGTTTCGCAGTCAAAGCATCCAGGCGTTTTGTGCGTGGACTGGTGGGTCTGTGAGAGTAAAGTAGCCTGGTACAAAGCTCTTGGAATAAAGAGCAATCGGTTTTCCTAAGGGTGATGTGTACGTTTACACCTTTCCTGTCACCCTTCTCGCTGGTAAAACTGTCAGCAAGAGGTACTGTGTGCACGCTTGCAAAAACTTCGATCATCTGCTGAACTTGCATTGTGTTAAAGAAAATCCCCGTTGGATTGGCTGCTAGTCTGTGTGCTGGCATGATGTTGCCTTGTTCCTGGCTCCAGACACTGTGGATGTGCCAGCTTTGAGTTCAGGCTGACTCTGAGAAGCTACTGATGCTGAGCGTGAGGCCACAGGCAGAACTCGTTAGTTTGTAAGTGATGCCATAGGTTGGCACTGACCACCCTGAGTTTATCGTTATACCCTTCCAACCCCTTGATCTTCCTCACCAGTAACAACACTGAGGAGCACAGTGATATTAAACCAATCTTAAAGGTATTGTAACATTTTGAGCATTGCTCTGATGAAGTGGCTGTATGGACAGTTACATTGTTGAACCATTCTCTGGTTTGTATGTTGATGCTCTCTGAGCATCCCTAGAAGCTTAATGGATAGACTTCATTAAAACAGTCTTTTACTGATGTTTCACAGTCTGGTACGATGGTTGTGAGCCCAGTACAGTTAGTTTGGTTGGTGATACCGTTGTCCTGGTAGATTGATGGCGCTGAAAGCAGAAGCTCTTTGTTAGTATTCTGCCTGACAGGTTCCAAATAAAGTGTGGTGTTTGATGAGAAGGTGGGTATTGGCTACCAGTGCGATGCAGCAGTGAAGGGCAGTGTAGTCTAGCATTAGCAGTGTTGTGCAAAACTGGTTTGGGCTAGCTGGAACTTTATACGCAGGTCTGCTTACCTTTTGTTTTAAGAACAAGTGGCTGTAGTAAAAAGCTGTTTACATGGTTAGCAGAATTAAGAATGGAAATCAGGTCTAACCAAGCTGAAATGAAATGGAGTTTCTGACTGTAAATGTGAAAAAAAAAGAGAAAATAACTTGAAGATGAGGGGCAGTGGTTGCAGAAAAACATGTGGAAAATGTCTGGTTAGTCTGAATTTTGAACGCGTTTCCTGTGATCAAGTTTTGCAGCAGCCCGTCAGGCAAGCTAGCAGGGTATAAAGTTGCTGTTCTAAAGCTTGTCTCTGAGTTTATGAAATACGTATTACTAGCTGTAATAATGTGGAGCTACAGCAGAGGACACACAAAATCACTCCTGTCCTTGTTGTCTGAGGGTTTAGGATTAAGGTTGAGGGAAGTGAACCTGGGCAGAGTTTGCTTATGTGTGTTGGTAGTATCACTTCCTACACAGATTCATTTTCTTCAACACGGTTTTGGGGAACACTCATGCTCGCTGAGAATGGACTGTGGGTGTTTTCTTTAATAGGTGTAAAGTATACATTCAAAACCTACAGAAATATACGCATGTGTAAAACAATACTTAGTAATACTACTTTTCCTGTAGCAACTGATTAGCAATTGCTATTTAGTGTTTCAGTATTACTGCTTTTCGAGACCCTTTCACTTGTGAGTGCCACAGATCTGTATTGTTGTTTGCAGGTTCGAGTGGAAGGCTTTAACTACATTGGCATGGGCAATTCCACTAACAAGAAGGATGCACAGAGCAACGCTGCTCGAGACTTTGTCAATTACTTGATTCGGGTGAATGAAATGAAGAGAGATGAAATTCCTGCGTTTGGCGTAAGCTGCTCTTTTTTCTTACCAAAGACTAATCTTTAATTGCAGTGCCATGCCTCCGGCTGCATTTCTTCCCTGGAGTTCAGTCTGTGTGCGGTGAAGAAGACTGAAAGCGCATGATTTCGGCTTGTAGTGCTGGACGGCTGGAGTATAGGCAGTGAATGTTGTAGGCTGAGCTGGTAAAAACAGCTGCGTGTTTTCTGCATAACTGATGAGGCTGGAGAGAATTCAGAGTCCGTGTAAGCTGCAGCATGACTTGAATGCTGAATACTGACACCTGACACTGGGAATTGTTTCAAATGCATGTTATGATACATACTACTGCGTACTTTTTTTAAAAAAATCACATCTCAAACCAGACATGGGAAATTTTTTTAAACCATAAATGCTTTCTGCCTTAGCTCCTTGTGTAGTAGGATCGCTGCTTTTCATGACATTTTATAAACTGTGCAGGTATCAGCAATGACTGTCACGTAAAAGCGAAGGAGGAAGATAACTACAGCAGTTTTAGAGAACAGTGAATGAAGCATGAAGCTACGTGTTAGGCGTTGGCAGAGTGTTTTTCAGGTGCCTCATTAAGGATATATCCATATAAGATAATATAGTTTGATCAGTGGAAGCAGAGTCCCTGCCTCATTAGCCTTGGTGAAGCCTTATGGTAACAGGACCTGTATTGTTTCTGATGTACCTGTTGGTTTTGTGGCAATGCAGTGGGTTGCATGGCTAGATCTGAAAAGGGATCATGTGCTCTGTATCTTGAATAGAGCAGAGGTGGTGTGACCAGTTAGGTAAATGTACACATCTCAGAATGGTGAGAATTCACATTGTAATGATTAACCATCGTTGGGTCATTTCCTAAGGGTATTCATGTTTTCTTACAACAGGTGTTTGTACACAAAGTATGTTCATAACTCATTAATAGTTGAATTGCCTTGGATGTATGACAGGGACTGGTGTCTGTTATTTTATCGTGCGTGCTGAAACACTTGATTTTATAATTACTGAACTTCAGTAAGTCAGGGCTACTTTTTGGTTGGAAATCTTCTTACAGAACGCTCACAAAAAGCCAAATATTCAGCAGTTGTATTCCTTTCACTTTTCAAAGGGGTGTTGCTACTGGGGGTAGCTGTTGCACAATGATGTGTGATCTAAAACTGCCTGAACAGTTTTCTAATTAAGTAGTAAAGAGCCTCATTCAGTACGAATGTGCTGATATTTCCCTTCATTCCCTTTCCTAGCCGGCAGCTGGTGATACTCCTGATGGACAGAAAGCAGCCAGGGATGTTACTGATTCCAGCTCTACTTTGGGTGGACCTCTTCCTCCGCATTTGATTATAAAGGCTGAAATAGGTAAGACACTGAAAACTGTGATTTACACATATGTGGATGTAATATTTACACATAGATGTGGGCGGGGATTTTTCTCCTAAATAGCACAATTCTGCAGACAGAAGACAATTAGAAGTCATTGTAGTTTTGAGGCAGGGGTGTGAATGACTGCATGAAATCTGAGGGACTGGTCATGTCCCGTTGAGGTCTCTCCATTGCTGAGAACATGTTTTGGGAGTGTTACTCTGGCTTTGTTTTTTTCCATGCCATAGGCAATGGTGCAGGTGCAGCACCTGGAAACTCTGGCAGTCACGGAGCTCAGTGGGATCGGGGTGCAAATTTGAATGATTACTATTCAAAGAGAGAGGAGCAAGAAGTGCAGGCAGTAAGTCATTCTGTGTAATTCTCCTTTACTTTTGTTCTTGAAGAGGTGCCTTTTGTTCCCTTTCATTTGCTATTAGCATTTATAATCAAGCTTGCAGTTTTCATTTGACATTTTGCTGATGGTTTCAACTTAAGCTGCAGATTTACCTGCTGGCTTTTAGCAAAGGTGACATGTTTGAGCTAAGAACAAAACAAATAACTCTGGATACTGTGAATATTCAATTTTTTGTGTGGACACTTTGTTGTGACAACAAGGAATTACTGAGCACTTTTTAGCATTTTCTGTAATGTCTTCATTATTTGATAGCATCGAGACAAGACATTTCAAATAGCTGTTGTAAGGACATTTAAAGCTGAAATTTGTTAGAAACCAGTGAATGATAGTGGGTGGGGTTTTTTTTTTTTTTCAATATTAGACCTCGGAGTCAGAAGTGGACTTAAATGCCGATCTTCATGGGAATTGGACCTTGGAAAATGCCAAGGCACGTCTGAATCAGTTTTTCCAAAAGGAGAAGATTCAGGAAGAATATAAATACACTGAAATGGGGCCTGATCACAACAGGTTGGGTCGTTTTAGTCACCTTTTGCTTGTGAAGGTTTAGAAATGTTTCTTGTGAGTGTGGCTAATCACACTTCTTTGCAGTGCTCCACAGTGCCGTTTGAGAAAGCAGTGTTCTTTACCAGGACCAACAACATCCCAAAATCTTGAAATCGGGGTGATGAACCTTGGTGCCAGGATCTGAGGGACTCTGAAGAAATTGCTGTCTCATGTTTTTCATGGATGCGCAACTTTTGAAATGATTGCTGTGCTCTAGCTAAGCGTTGAGGTGTCAGTTTGAGAGGAAAGAAAGAGTGCTCAACTACTTGGGGGAATTGTTTGTATGACTGCAGTTGCCTTTTTACATTTTGAGGAAATCTTAAATATGCTTACATTTGCTTATGTACATATGTGCTTTAAGGACATTATTATAATTAACTTTTTTGGCAGAGGAATCTTCTACTGCAAAAATTAGTTTGGCAGAGTCTTCCTGAAGGAGTTTTGAGGATCTTAAATTTCAGTTGAAACCAGCTGGGTATTAGTATGACTGCAGTTGCCTTTTTACATTTTGAGGAAATCTTAAATATGCTTACATTTGCTTATGTACATATGTGCTTTAAGGACATTATTATAATTAACTTTTTTGGCAGAGGAATCTTCTACTGCAAAAATTAGTTTGGCAGAGTCTTCCTGAAGGAGTTTTGAGGATCTTAAATTTCAGTTGAAACCAGCTGGGTATTACACTTTTTTGACTTTCTGCCCGTTCCATCAGAAAATTTACATGTGCTTCTCCCAAATGAAAATAATGCATAGCAGATTGTGCATAAAGAATTGATGGGGTTTGATTCTTTTACCCTTGTTTGGAATTGTCTTTACAAATCATTAAAACTTCAGTACACTGTATTATTTCTTGTGAAGTATAATCAGAAACAACAACATGCTGCCGCTGGAGTCTTTTTGTGGGGGTTTGGTTTTTTTTGAATTACATAAATTTGTTTCCAATGAGAGTTACTTTTTTTGGAAAGACAAGTGAATGTTCTTATTATAGTCTTCCATGAGAGGCTTACTTGCAGGATAGCTAGTATTCTTTTGTTCTTAAGTCTTCCAAGCATTTAGAACATAGAAAATACATGTATTGGTGTCAGAAAGTTCTAAATTCTCATTTAAAACCTGTCTTCAAGTCACTTCATCTCCATTTATGTTTACAAGCAAGGACATTTCTTTCCCGTAAATGAGTAACAGAAAAAGGTAGTACAGTACCAGGAATTTGAAATATGCTTGTTGCAGATGTAGTTCTTGAGCACTTCTTGTATTCTGTAACTTGCAGATTACTTGTGCAGCTTGTTTTGTTATGCCTTCTGCAGGTAAAAACATTCAGCCCCGCATATTGAAATGCATATAATCCTGAGCAGAATGAGGTGGCCATCGATGACAGTATGTTTCTCAGCCCACTGCTGTTTTCTGGGTAGCATTTCAGAGTTTCATGTTTACTACATCCAGGAAAGCTTGTGTGAATTGCTCTGGATGGAATGGCAGAAGGGGGAACTACCTGCTGCAAAGGTTCAGATAGGCCTGAAACAATCCTAATGTCTTCTAGTATTCATTGGGAGAGGGAAACTGTTGGATTTAATCCTTTTGGTATGTATAACAGGAGAGGAAGAATTTAAGATGTTTTTGGAGTTTTGAGGACAGGAATATAGGGGTTTTTTGTTTGGATTTTTTTTACGTAATGGTCTCTATAACAGAAGTATCAGCCTTCCTCTCAGAGGTTTTTAAAGGATAAATGTTTTTGTTGTCAATTAATCATAGTCCCATGGCATAAGAACTTAGTAATAGCTGGAAAATTTGGGATTCAGAAGGTCTATTTTAATTACGACAGGAGGGTATAAATTGTAAACATAAGCATGGCTCTCCTAATACGCAAAGTGTGGACTAACTATTAAGGGATGGGATGTGGCTTTTCTCTCTTGGGATTCCATCAGTAGCATGGGGTGCCTTTGCCTCCTTGTGTTCCT